CGCACAGACACACACACACACTCTCTCTCACACACACACACACACACACACACACACACGTCTAGACGCGGAAAAACTGCACGCGGAGGTAAGATATCTTTTAATGTTTATTGCTGATCGTAAAGATCTCGAGCGTCAAATAAAACGATAAATAAAATGTATTTCTCGATCTCTGCTGGAGTTTGAATGTAAAAATGAAAGTTCAGATATGTGTGAACTGAGTTTATGTCTAGACGCGGAAAAACTGCACGCGGAGGTAAGATATCTTTTAATGTTTATTGCTGATCGTAAAGATCTCGAGCGTCAAATAAAACGATCAATAAAATGTATTTCTCGATCTCTGCTGGAGTTTGAATGTAAAAGTGAAAGTTCAGATATGTGTGAACTGAGTTTATCTGCGGTTATTTGAGTTTCTGTTCAACAATCAGACAAAAACAAACACAGCGGCTGCTGAACGAAGCTCGTGATTCATGTTTATTCATATTAAATCTGAAGGTTTGTCATGTTAGTGCTGTCCACCAAATCATATCATAATGTGGGATTTATTTGTTTAATGCTATATTGAAGAGAAGTCAGTGCTCTGTAATAAAATCTGTTTATAGGAATATAATCATTACATTTAGTCATCACAGGTGTTCTGAAGGGTTAGGACTGAGAGCTGAACAACACCCATTACGATGAGCCTAAAAGTGACCTTTTGAGTGTCTGATCCTGACATTTGGACTGAAGTTCAGAGTAATGTGTGAAAGGTGTCTATATGTGCCTGTGCTCTAGACACCATCCTGAGCTGTGCATCTTTACAGCCAACATGTGTTGTGACTCAAAGATGGGTTAGGGTAAACCAAGCCAAATCTAAATAAAAACTGTCCGTTTTGCAATACTAATATACACAGAGGTGATCACGCAAAGGAAGTTTCTACAGTTAAAAAGAGAAAGACGTGCATCAGATGTTTGTCAGCAGAAGATCTCAGCCGTCTTTCTAAGGCCCATGGCAGTTCTGGGCGTTCAGAGATGAGTCTGACACCCATTCTTGAAGAAACGCTGATCAAACGTTCTCAGCAGAAGAAACGGACGTCTCCGCTCAACTATAAGGAGAGAGTGTTTGTGCTGACCAAGAGCAAGCTGACGTACTATGAGCTCCGAGCCGAGGTGAGCGAACGCAGCTGGAGACCACACGCATCAGCAGCGCTCAGCAGCGTGTTCACGTGTTCCTGCGTGTTTTACAGAAGAGGTTCAAGAAGGGTTCGGTGGATCTGCAGAGGATCAGGTGTGTGGAGATCGTGAAGAGCAGCACCACCATCATCCCCTGCCAGAACAAATATCCCTTCCAGGTCAGACGTAGAAAGTACTTGCTCATTTACAATGAAAACCCCATCAGGAATCGTGCGGGACTGAACCGGATCTCGTTGTCTGTCTCTCTCTATCTCCAGGTTGTTCATGATTCCATCATGCTGTATATTTTTGCTCCCAGTAATGAGAGACGAAGCGTTTGGGTCCAGAACCTCAAGGAAGGTCAGTGAGATTCTCATGATACACATACGTGACCCTGGAGCACAAAACCAGTCATAAGGGTCAATTCTGTGAAATTGAGATGTATGCATCAGCTGAAAGCTGAATGAATAGCTTTCCATTGATGCGTGGTTTGTTAGGATCGGACAATATTTGAAAATCTGGAATCTGAGGGTGCAAAACAATCTAAATATTGAGAAAATCATCTTTAAAGTTGTTCAAATGAAGTTCTTAGCAATGCATATTACTAATCAAACATTAAGTTTTGATATATTTACGGTAGGAGATTTACTAAATATCTTCATGGAACATGATCTTTACTTAATATCCTAATGATTTTTGGCATAAAAGAGAAATGTATAATTGTGACCCATACAATGTATTGTTGGCTATTGCTACAAATATCCCCCAGCGACTCAACACTGCTTTTGTGCTGCAGGGTCACAATTCATTTAACTTCTGTTTTCTGGCTGATCACATGATCCTGCAACCAATACTTGTTTCTTACTAATTTGGGGTGCTGATTCAAAAAAAAAAAAAAAAGCATGTTTTGCTCTTTCAAGTCACACTTTCTCACTAAATACGATGCATTTTGTAGCACTTTTGCTGTCGACAAGCATTTGTGTGGTGAAGAACTCTTGTGATTTCACTTAATCAGCAGAAAAACACCACAAACACAGGATTCCTGTCTGAATCTGATCACGATTACAACTCTCTGTTCAGTCCTCCGCTCACACGCATGAACCGTTTCACACGACCACTCGCGCTGATTTCTGCTTTCTCCACTCTTTTGCATGCTGTAAAATAACGCATTCTCAAAACGTTTGACATTTGACTGCTTAAGTTGTTTTAATAAGTGCATTAAATCTTCATTCTTATTTAGTTTTGATTGATAGTCGTTTGGATGCATATACTGTGTATTACGACTCTGTGGCCCTTCACTCTTCAGCAGTGTGTCAGGAGTTCTCTGTGGAAGTGAGACTATTTCTTCAGTAGTTTCAGTGGTTTGGAGTGTATAAACTGTGTCATGTAAATGTGAGCGCTTACTGACGTGCATTACATACATGCTCATAATGGCCACATCTACACCTGACATATAACACAACAATTCAGCTGATTTGCTAAAAGGGCCTAATATTACCTAATTTGGTGAAGCGGAGTATTTTTTTTGACTTGAGTGTTTTCTGCAAGATGCCTCACTGGGTTTTAAAGCGAGTTTAATCAGTTTATCTCTGAATGGCTGGTCCTCCGGTGTGTGTGTGTGTGTTTGGGGTCGGGTCTGACGTGTTTCTGGTGTGTTTTGTCCTGCAGAGATCAAGAATAACGTTCAGATCGCAGCTAAGTTCCACCCTCAGTTCTGGCAGGAGGGCGAGTGGCTGTGCTGCGGGCAGGTGGATAAACTCGCCCTGGGCTGCGAGGGATACAACCTGTTCGGAGACAGTAAGAGTCCTGCAATATGAACCAATTCAGCACAGTTCACACTGGGTCGCTAAATCAATGCAGAATCAACATAAATACTACATATTGTAATAACAAATAACATGTTGAAAATCATACATGTTTAGCTCATTTCTAAATGCATGTTAATGATCTTAATGTGAACGATTCATCCATGTATGTTCCCTTTCTACTTTTTTTTATTTTTAATAAGAATGTCATAAGTGGATCTTCTCTCTAGTGTCATATGCAGGATTTCTCCAATCAAGAAACTCCGCCCCTTTATTATAATCCACGGCAAGCTCACATTAAGACCCGCCTCCATTTCTGAGAGCCACACCCACATCAGCGTTATTATAGAAAAATAAAAATAAAAACATAGAACTTTTAGATTCTTGAATTAAAATGTTAACTGAAATAAAATATAATTATATATATATATATATATATATATATATATATAATTCAG